TACGTCCATAAGGATTGCAGCATTTGGCCATAAATGTGAGGTGTCTGCACAGTGGTTGTAAGTTCTTGATTGCCCTTTAACCAATTAAATAAAAAAAACTCCCAAGGATTTTAGTACCCCCCCCCCCTGTTCACTCTTCTCAATCCTCAATGTTTGAAAATCAGGCCCAACACCAGAGGTAGCACAGCTGCGCAGAGAGAAGGCCCCTCCAGGTACGGCTTAATGTTGAATTTAATTGAAATTAATAGGAGGCTACATTGTGTTTCAACGTTGCTTTTCAAGTCGCACGTGTCAGGCTAATTTTCAATTTACATTTATTTTTGCATGAAACCGCTATTTCAACTGTTTTGTATTAATGCCGTTCGAATCCAAACAATATATATTTAAGTCAACAATTTATACCACTGCAAATGTCCCACACAGCTGGAAATAATGGCCCGTTCCCGCGGCTGATTCGGGAATCATTGATGTAAAATTCTTACTTTGGCTTCTAGCAACAGGAATGTAGAATTGTCACCACTCAGCAGAGAGACTCTTTGTCTCAACATCAATAACAGAACTGAGCCAGCGCTGGTGGTATCACAATCCTCCGCCTGAAGCCAGGTCAAAACCTCGCACGATAACGTGAAAGACCTCGACCCATTCAAACTATGAAAGCATCACATATTTTTCTGGAGCTCAGGCCCAGGCAGCTCCGGCTGAAAAAGAGCCCTGATAATTGTTCAAAACATATACATATTTTTCCATTTACAGAAGACCCTCCTCCAGTATTGATTCAAATGTGAGATCAAGGGCTTTAAGGGTTTATTTTACAAGACTCCTTAGTCTGCATGCTACAATGCCCATGCAGCTGGGTGGTATTTTGAGACAAATACGAACCGGTGTGTTTTTTTTCTTCGTCTCCGGGTCGGCTTTGCACCCCCACGGAATGAGCCGACGTTATCATCAAGCGACGGCATCTTCACCGGTCGCCCCAGTGACGCAACAGGGCGACGTGTTGCGCCCAGCCCGGCGGTGAGGCGGAAAACACCACACTGTGTGCGCTACCCACCGATAACTTTTGAACGAATGCACAAACGAGGCTGCTTTGCTTGCAGCGAGAGCGAACTTTGGGATGCAGGTGACTGAGCGTCGAGAGGTGCCGCAACACCAAACGAATGCTGGATTGTGATTACGGCAATGATGACGCAGACAAAGGATGACGGCCATCCAAAAAGCCGAGAGTTGACAGCACTTTACTAAATCCCCGACTCCTATTTTTTTTTTTTTGGACTTAAGGGGGCTTTAGGTACATTTTCAACGTTCTAATGCTACGTAATAAAGAGACAGAGGGGGAAAAAAATCTATCAAATCCCTACCGAGGGAAAGAATTGGCCTTCCGGTAATGACGGCAGGTTACGGAAAAAAAAAGCGGGGAATAAAAAAGCGGCCGTAAAATAAAAATAAATCTAACAGCGGCAATTACACAACTTCACGAAAATGAAGGCGATCCCACACTGTGAAATTCAGTTTATTTTCTACGTGCTTTGTCGAATGTGCGGCATTTAATACCAGGATGATGGCGCATGTGATGCGCAAGGCACCCCAAAGGGCATCAAGTCTATTATGGTTAATACCGGTCTGAAATCCGGATGTTAGCCCGAGCACGTCTCTACGACGTTTACAGCTACCTGGTTCATTTCCCTGACAGCGCAGCTCATCGGTGGCCAATGGGATCCGAAGTCAGTGCTTCCTTGAATGGGTACCTGGTGCACTATTTGTATGTATGAACTTCTTTAACACCGCACATAGCCAATCCGTGCTCATCGGAGGTGCTTCCGTGAACAATGGCACAATTCAGAAATGATTATTTTCATATTCTTAGGTGTTTTCGGTAAAGTCACGTAGGTAAAACATCAAAATTAATAAAAATAATAAAATAAAATTAAAATCACGACGTTTCGGAGGCAACACAAGTCTCCGTCATCAGGTGGGACAGTCACAGCCAGATCAGCTGCATCTTGATGCAGCTGATCTGGCTGTGACTGCATCTTGATGCAGCTGATCTGGCTGTGACTGTCCCACCTGATGACGGAGACTTGTGTTGCCTCCGAAACGTCGTGATCTTTATTTTATTTTATTATTTTTATTAATTTTGATGTTTTACCTACGTGACTTTACCGAAAACACCTAAGAATATGATTCCTTGCAGTCACGAAAGCTTCAAGTCTAGAAATGATTATTTTCATCGTAGCGTTCACACGAGTCACACCGCCGACGGTGTGTCGTACGCCCTTCTCCACCCGACACGGCTGAATAAAGGATGTCACGTGAAAAAACGCGACGATATTTATCGCACACCAGTGCAGTGGAGGGCAATCCGTAACATTTAACGATTTGGAATGGCGTTTCGCTGATAATTACAACCAGAGTCATCATCAGGCAATTGTGACTCAAACATAAATCTCGACTTACCCCAATGCACTGTTTAGGCATCATTGCTGGGAACATGAAGGCAGCAGGGTGTAGTAGTTACGGGGTCCGGCCGTTCTATCGGCCACCCCAACGTGTGCACTTTTGACTTTTGGATGTTCTTTAGCTCCGAGGTTCTAAACACTTAACAGGAGACATCTGTTTGTCGTGCGTGTGTGCGAGACGGCTGTTAAGTGTCACCTCGTGGGTGCATTCACAGTAACCGAAGCTCGCTGCCGTGTGCGCGCGTGTACATACCCGTCTGTGCACGTGCACAGAGCACCCCCAGTCCCCTTCCTCCTACGACCCTAATTCCTGACCCGGCTCCGACGTCGCCCCTCTCCACGTGCACCGAACCACGTCTCTCCCCCAGCCCTACGCCGCACTCCCAATCGGCTCAACTATCCGGTCACCTGACCTCTGCCCCCACCACCCTTCACCTACCCTCATCCGTGCCGACGTCACCACTTCACGCAACGTGCCCCACACCCCGCTGCCTCTCGTCCACGCTGCACCCATCGGACACCCTCACTCACCATCACACTCCACCCTATTCCTCCGTACCTGCCCCAGCAACATCAACTCCATTCCCAGCCCCTGTCCCTCCACCCATTCCGTCACCTCCTACACTGACCGCCGTCGGCTCGCATTCTAAAGGGCCCTGCAAAGGACGCCGCATGAATCCGAAATGGAATAGAGTGTGAAGATGCGCTGACTGTGTGCATTCGTGTGTCTTGTACGACGAAAGAGCAACGATTGGTGAATGTGTACACAGATCTAAGTTTGCGTACACATTCACAACAAGGAAGGTGGCACCGGATGCCAGATAACGAAATGCAGCATTGAAAAGGTAAACACTGGAAGATGGATGTCAACAGTGCAATTGCCGTCGAATCTGGCAGAAGGAAGGAAGCGAACTCAAGAGTGTGGCAGAACTGTTGGCTATGACAAACGCTTATCTTGACCTATGCGTAATTAAAAACCATGCTATGGCCCGTCACGTGCGGAGAAAGAGTAGTGAACTAAATTTGTCTTGCAAGCGTTCACTTTTCACAGGCAAATGCTGACATTTTTAGAAGTTCCCATGAGAAATAACAGCAGAGGTGTCGACAGAAATCAGCAAAAAGTGTGAAGATATTTTAATCAAATGTAATGCACTTTCATATGAACTGGAGCAATCACACGCGCCACGTGGAGACACGCGGGCATTGGGAGTCATTCGTAATCTTAGTGAAAATATATTTGATGCTAATTAATTTGTTTCCTGCAACGCCTGATGACATTTCAGACAACGTGGGTCTTTCCAACCGTCATTGCATTCACTCACGACAATGAAAAGACGGCTGAGTAGCGTGGTGGTCAGCAGACGATTTGAGCGGCAGATTTTGAAGTAGATCCTGGAGAGCCCCTCTAGAGGCTATTTTGGCCTACTCTTCCATTCTGGCCAGATGCCTTGAAAGAGGGTGGGAGTACCCACACTTTACACCATCGCGCATGACCTGCAAGGCAGACAAGCTGCAGCATTATCCATTTCTTCTGCTGGGTGGACAGAGGCAGGTCACGTTGGCGATATGTTAACTACCCCGCCTGGTATACAAGAGGTTATGGGTTCCATCCCGCCGGTGAGGCCTGTTGTATATTTTGAGTTTGCATGCTCCCCCCCGTGGTCACGTGGATTTTTCTCTGGCTGCTCCGGTTTTTCCCTCCACACTGAGAATCACCATGCGTTCAGAGTTGTTGGCCGTTTTTACAAATATTCACTCGATAGACCGCTTCGTTGAGCCATCGTTTGTGATGGCCAGGTCGCCTTTGAAAAACAGCCACGCAGCTCAGTGGGCCTTACCCGGTAAGATAAACAAATAGAATAAAAATCCGAAGAAACTTACACCATCGTTGCAGCTGCCTCGCCGGGAGATCAAATTGAAACGATGACCTTCGTGACGCAAATCCGGTGCGCTAACCCGTTTCACTGCCGCTGGGGCGTTCCCTGTTTAAGGCTTGAAATGACAACCCGGTTCGGTGTGCAGACCATCAGCGTCGGTGCCTCTGCACGCAAAGTTTGCTCGCCACAAATGAACCGCAACACCTTTGACGATCTCGTCAAGGAGCACAAACCATCACGACGCGAACTCCGGTCATCCTCACTTTTGGCTGGCCATCGAACAAAGACGCTCACCGCATCGCGCGCTTTCAGGTGCGCTACTGTGGCCATCTGGAATGCTCTTCCTTCCGATTATAGGAAGCCAGTGGAGCTGTACACTTTAAAATCATCTTCAATGAAAACTCATTTCTTCAGAACTTCTTTTTATGTCCTTCCCCCGGCACCTCCGATTCGCACTGTTGGCTACGCACGGTGCAAGATAAGTTCAACGTACATACGCATACACACACATTACCCGTTACGGGAAACCAATTTCGCAGTTGCCGCAGGCCCCTCTCTCTCTCCGAGGGCCCTGGCCACGAGCGCGTGCGATTCTGAACTGACGCCGGCGCTGCAGCCGCGACCGGCGTCACTTCTTTCTCCGCCGCCCTACGTCCGCCCGACTGACCTGGCACGTGCTTGGCCCAGCCGATGATGACGACGAGCTCGCGGTCGGCCAGGTCGCACAGCGTGGTGAGCGCCTTGATGTCGCTGTCGGGCACCGTGGGGTCTGGCATAGCGTAGATCTTGTCCGGCTCGGCCACGATCAGGTGCGACACGATCTTGTTCACTGCGGCGGGAGGCAGGGGGACGCGAGATTTGTTTTTTTTGCGGCCGCTGCGGCGTTTCGCTCGCGCTCGAAACGTCCGCGCTCACCGTAGCGAGGGGCCTTGGGTTTCTCGACGAGTTCCAACCACCGGCGAAATGTTGCAAGGTGGCCAACTTTGGGCAAGAGCCGTTGATCTTGCACCGCTTAATTTTCAGTATGCCAACGAGATTGCCACTGGGGTGGCACGTGCCCGTTGATGACGTTTCATGGCTGCGTTCTTTTTTTTACCAAAATAACTTTTTAAGTGTTTCACAAAACACCAATAAGGGGAGGGGATCGTGTAAGCAGCGTGGGGTGATGACAGGATAGCAGCAGGAATCTTCTCCTTATCGGGTGTCTCACACGCTCCCTCCTGTAGAGACTCTTCTTTACTCTGATTACAAGCTGTGTATGATCTGAAATGCATTGGTTGCTGTTGCATATAGATCATAGAAAGAGTATGATCACAGTGTAGCGCTAAGTTAACGTTATATAGGTCAGTTATCTTCGATCCATTAATAGTTTGTATGAGGTGTTGCTCAGACAATATCAAAGATGGGAAAATACATGACGCTACAGACTAAAACTTAAAAAAAAATATTATATCTTACCAGGTAAGGCCCACTGAGCTATACAGCTATTTTTGAGAAGCAACCAGGCCACAAATGATAGCTCAAATAAGTGGCTTATCACGTGGACATGTATAAAAGCAGCCAAAAACTCGAAACAGTCAGTAATCACACAATCAGTAATCAGAGGCTGCAGACTTTTCTGCAAGCATCCTTACCAGCTGGGTGCTCACATTATTGATCACAGGGGAACAATGGGGTAGACTCGACCCTGGCATGGGTAGCAGCTCAAGGCTCAAAATTAGAAGCCCTGATGCCCTTCCAACTTGGGCAATATCCCAGACGCTTGTGTATCTAAAAAAAACCAAAATGTGTCTCCCTGATCAATCATGCAGCGGCGGTGGCACTCATCTCCTTTGGTTCCCGAGCCGGGAATGGAAATTCTACATTGCCATGGAGGGGAGCAGTCTATTTATAGGAAGACTGATGTTGACTTTTATTGTTGTATGGTATATTGTATTGCACCCCCACCCTCCCAGTGGGATGATAGGCCGAGTCAGCGGCCAATGGGAGGTGAATTGCTTACACTAATGTGTGTGACTGAACTTGTGTTTAGAAGTCAATGCCCTGTTAGCAATTTTATCCACAGCCAATTATTACTCGCTGGCCACAGGAACCACAACATCGACACCAAACAAGCCAGCCCAGTGGCAAACGCAGTGGCCGTTACGCTACCAAGTCGCTTGGCACACACGCATTCTTTCTGTGTGCCGTATACACACACAAAAATACACACACAGAGATATTCTCCATAGCCCATATCGACTGTCGGGCTGTCCTTGTTTCGCACACATGAGCAACAGAATTAATATTTTTTTTGCACAACCATTAGCAGCCCTGACGGAGTGGCAGCCTAATGTTGTACGCAACACGAGATGCAAAGCGAGTGCCGAGCCGTCTCTCTCGATTCGGCTCAGGGCGGTTTGGCTGGTGCGACAGAACAACCGCGTATCCACTCGCGTGTGCGCTCGCAGAGACAATGAGTCCCCTTTTAGCCCGCGGAGACCGTTGGCGCAAAGGGGGCGGGTGGCGTGGCCAACAACCGCACCTGGCCACCGCCGTCTCCCCGAGTGGGGGCGTTGAAACACGAGGCACCGACGCACGCGCGCGCCCAGAGGTCCTCAGCTTGGCCTCGTCGGCTGCGGGGGGCCAAATGTCGCTCGCGAGCATCTATCAGGCCCTGCCGTTGAGCGCGCACGTTGAGTGAAGCGAATGCACGCGTTCAGAATGCACTTCTCTGCATTTTCGGTGATACTTTGTTATCGGACTGGCACAATACCATACCATGCACTGCTGCAACTAGGCCTCCCTGTGCCGTGTCAGTCAAGAGGATTGTTTGACCCATACTGGACCACGTTGGCAGCCCCGTGTGGTGAAGGGGTGGTACCGCCGATTTGCACGGTTGGCTACGTACGGTCCAGAAGAAGTCCAACATCGACACAGAGCCACTAACCGCGGCCGTGGTGGTGGGGAATCGAACTCAGGATGCTCACCACTCTTTCACCACTTCCCGCATCGTTGCACGTATATAAGGGGTTATTTTTCAATAGATCAGAGGTTTAGTATTCCCAGCCCTAAATGCAAATAGAAATCTAATCATTAATCATTAAAGGATTAAATACTGCCCACTGCCTATTCAATCAGATTGGAATCAGGGAAGGGGAGCTTAAAGCAATAATTTATTTCTCTCCTTTCAAAGATGGCTAATTGTGGAGCAGTCGATGAAAATAACACGCTCCTGCCATGGAAATGTGGAATTTCCATCACGGTTCTCAGGATCACCGATGTGAGAATGAGTGCCACCTAAATTGTATCTTAAAATAATTCCTATGGCCCTTTACCCGAGGCGCTTTACACAGAATGAGCAACGGTACACACGGATGTGACGGTGGAGATGAGGTGAACGAAATTGATAAAGAGAAAGCAATCGGGGCAAATCTGTTCTGTGTGAATTCGGTAAAAGCGCGAAATCGATGGCAGTGAATGATGATGAATTGAATGACTGGGGAGTGGTGTCCGAGCAGGGAGACTCGTTGACTTTCGACTTCACTAAACTTAATTTTAAAGTTCCACTTGATAAATGTGAACATGCAAATTGTGGCAAATGGCACCACCAAGTTGCGTCGCCCCATGTTCACGTTGTGCTCAAAATCATGACGAGGACATCAAATTTAAAAGCGCCACAAACAGGATCGCTCAAAACTCCGGTGGCAAAGAGGTGAGCCAGTGGCATTTGAAGCTTCGTGTGCTAAGGGTGAACAGAAACATTGATCATGAGTGCATCCGTCACAGCTGTTAGTAAGAGTGGCAGTGTGACACACGTCCATGTGTGCGTGTGTGGAGCGGTGGTGCAGTGGTTAGCGCACTGCGCTACGAACCCGGCGATCCGAATTCGATTCTCGCTCACGTCCAACAGCAGCGACGGTTATCTGAACCAGTTATGGGCCTCCCGTAGATTGACTCAGCCATAATTGAGTACCTGGTATGCGTTGTGTAAACAACCACTAAGGAAGACAAAGGCGGCTGGGCATGGTGCTGGCCACCCACCCCCACGTGTGCTGTGCTGGCTTTCATAGGTGCTCGCAAATAGCACCTGCCCTATAAGTCTGTTCAGGCCACACGGGGGATCTTTGTCTCCTTGATTAACACAATGACCACGTAAAAATTCTCAATTCCAAGCGCTAAACCTAACAATGCAAATTTTAACTGCATCCTCCTGAAATTGATTCAACTTAAGAGGTGTAATATTTCAAGTGTATTTATTGGTAGATTAGTGTTCGGTGCGTGCACCAGTTGAGCCACCAGTTGAGTCAACGGTTTTATTTCGTTACCAAAGGAGTAAAGGTGAAGCTCTGTAATGTGTTGCTCGCACTACTGCTTGCAAAAGGTCCTCCTCTACAGAGATCTATAAAGAGTGTCCTCTGGCTTACTCCTTCCCCAATTGGCCAGATGTTTTGGAAGAGGTGCGAGTGCCCACACTTTACCCCACCACAAGATGGTACCTGCCAATCAAATGACTGCAGTGTACCAATTCAAGAAACTTGCAGCATTGTTTCAACTGCTGGGCTGGGGGGGAAAGGATGGAACCGGTTGATCTCTAGATTTGCAAGTCTGGCAGTCACCTGAGTGTTTCTATGTGGACAGCAAAGGGCATCTCCTGGTGTAGCATGGGCCTAAAGGAGGATCATGTGATACCATTTACATTTCACGACACAATACATCCCTGTGTAAACGGAAAATAGCACATTTTATGACAATCGTTAAATGTAAAAAATAGATTGTCACCACACAAGAACAAAAAATGATAGATAGTGAAGCCTTAAAAGCAACAAAGATGTCAATTTCAGCCACGTAAACAACGCTCACACAATGACAGGTATAGGACCTTGCATTCTTTTTGGTGGGCCTACTCTTACACACTCAAGCAAGCATCCTTCCAGGGCTAATGAAATAAGAGTACACTGCGAGACATAACTTTGTGGGATGCTGTACAAAATAACATCCCACACGGTGGGATGGCTAGGAGATGTTAACTACCTCGCCTGGTGTACAGGAGGTCGTGGGTTCGATCCCTACCCTGACTCCTGTATATATGGAGTTTGCGTGTTCTCCCCATGGTCACGTGGATTTTTCTCGGGGTCCTCCGATTTTTTCCCTCCACATTTAAAATCAACATGCATTGAGAGTATTTGGCTGATAGAAATTTCCAAACGACGAGCCACTTCGTCGGGCTATCATTTGCGGCCAGGTCGCTTTTGAAAAATACCTATATAGCTCAGTGGGCATTACCTGGTGAAAAAATAAAAAAGTAGTTTCAATACTTCTAGATTTGAAGCTTTCGTGACTGCAAGGATTCATATTCTTGGGTTTTTTCCAGTAACATCACGTGATTTTACCGAAAAACCCAAGAATATAGTTTCAGTACTTTTAACGATTCCATCACCCGCATCGTTGCGTGAGGCGGGCCTTCTCTAGGAGCCGTCCGGTGGGCCCTGGCCACGCCAGTCATTGGGGTTGGTGCCGTCTGAACAGTTGCGTGGGAGACCCGGTTACTCGCTGCACCTCCATCATTGTGAACGTCCTTGCTGCGAGCACCGCTTACGATGGGCCACTTCGCTGCTCGTTGGAGCAAGGGGTCACCGCAAGGTTACCACTTTATCCACTGGCACAGCCAAGCAAGTGCTGGCGGGGGGGGGTCATGTGTACGGGTCGTTATTTCGCTGGTTATTTTTCGTGTCAAACCGGCTGCGATACGCGGGCCTCACAATAGTTTGACGTCTGCATCTATTTCGGGATCAAGCATCGCCAGGAGTGTGACGGATGACATGTTCATCGCGCGGTGTCATTCACTCCCACTTGTGAAATTGCCAAACTGCCAAAAACCGCGGCATTGGCAGCACGGCTCGGCTCGGCTTCGGCAACAGAAAAAACAAGAACCTGGCGCCTCCCTGAGCTGCATCGGGCTGGTTCGGCACGGACCCGGTACGGGTCGGTTGGACAGAGTGAAAACAGAAGGGGTATTTGTGCCAAATTTTGTAACGCGATAGAGAATGTTCCTTTTTTGCGTCCGATTGCCCGGCAAAAGCATGCCGACATCTCCAGTGCCTTGAACGGAGCAAATCACAAAGGCAATGATTTTCGGTAGTTTCCTCAAGGTTCGACGGCTGGCCTCTTAACTTTGCTTTTCGGATCACACGCTGGGTAGACAGAGGGACTGAAAGATGTTTGGGAGAGTGGTGGGGGTGGGGTCATAACACAAACAAACTCTCAAATGACTCCATAACACAGATTTTTTTGGGTTAGATCGCGCAAATATATCAATGTGTCGTTAAACCCGCCACCGCCCAACAGCCAATTAGCAAGGTTTGTCACGTAAACAGAACATGCCCATTCGTTGCTCGTACAGCCACACCGGTTGTGAGTTGGAGAGCCAAGCCACAACTGACTCCCAAATGACTTTCACCAACGTGCGCCTTGACCGGGAATCGAACGCTGCGCCCTTTTTAGATCGCGTGCCCAGCGCATTAGCCTTTAACACCTAGACAGCTGAGGGCTCACACCAGAAGGGCACGTGTAAAGTGGCACGGGGGGGGCGGGGAGAAGTGGTTTATTGCCGAATGCATTTTTCAAGCGTTAACACTCGCCCAGTGGCCCCGGCCCTTAAGCCCAGCCCCCCCCGTCCCATCCCTCGGTGGCATTTTAACCATCCTTATGACATTTAAAGCTTCCATTTCTCTCCTTCAGCCCCAGCCCCATCCGTCAAGGTAATTTATGCAGACCTGCAGGCACGCCGTGTCTTTACCGATCCGCCTCATTGAAGTCTTCACCGCGCTAACAGACGAAATTCATGAGCCATCAGAAATACACGCGCGTTAGGGAAAATGTTACTCACGGCACGCTGTTGACCGCTCCCACCCCCCCCTCCCTCCATCTCTCTCAACTCGCCGGGCCCCTCTACTCATGAACGGCGTCCAAGCACCAGGCAATGGGTACAATGAAGCGGACGGGACAAGTTGGCGGCCCCTTCCCAGACTGGACGGGATAAGTTGGCGGCCCCTTCCCAGACTGGATGGGACCATTTGGGGACCGATTCCCAGACTGGATGAGACAATTTGACGACCACTTCCCAAACTAGACAGGACAAGTTGGCGGCCCCTTCCCAGACTGGATGGGACCATTTGGGGACCGATTCCCAGACTGGATGGGGCAATTTGGTGGCCCCTTCCCAGACTGGATGGGGCAATTTGGTGGCCCCTTCCCAAACTGGATGGGGCAATTTGGTGGCACCTTCCCAGACTGGATGGGGCAATTTGACGACCACTTCCCAGACTGGATGGGGCAATTTGGTGGCACCTTCCCAGACTGGATGGAGGCAATTTAACGACCACTTCCCAGACTGGATGGGACAATTTGGTGGTCCCTTCCCAGACTGGATGGGACAATTTGACGACCACTTCCCAGACTGGATGGGACAATTTGATGGCACCTTCCCAGACTGGATGGGGCAATTTGATGGCACCTTCCCAGACTGGATGGGACAATTTGACAGCACCTTCCCAGACTGGATGGGGCAATTTGACGACCACTTCCCAGACTGGATGGGACAATTTGATGGCACCTTCCCAGACTGGATGGGACAATTTGATGGCACCTTCCCAGACTGGATGGGGCAATTTGACGACCACTTCCCAGACTGGATGGGACAATTTGACAGCACCTTCCCAGACTGGATGAGATAATTTGACGGCACCTTCCCAGACTGGATGGGACAATTTGGTGGCACCTTCCCAGACTGGATGGGACAATTTGGTGGCACCTTCCCAGACTGGATGGGACAATTTGACGACCACTTCCAAGACTGGATGGGACAATTTGACGGACCACTTCCCAGACTGGATGGGACAATTTGACGGCCACTTCCCAGACTGGATGGGACAATTTGACGACCACTTCCCAGACTGGATGAGACAATTTGACGGCCCCTTCCCAGACTGGATGGGACAATTTGACGGCCACTTCCCAGACTGGATGGGACAATTTGACGACCACTTCCCAGACTGGATGAGACAATTTGACGACCACTTCCAAGACTGGATGGGACAATTTGACGACTACTTCCCAGACTGGATGAGACAATTTGACGACCACTTCCCAGACTGGATGGGACAATTTTACGACCACTTCCCAGACTGGATGGGACAATTTGACGACCACTTCCCAGACTGGATGGGACAATTTGACGACCACTTCCAAGACTGGATGGGACAATTTGACGACCACTTCCCAGACTGGATGAGACAATTTGACGACTACTTCCCAGACTGGACGGGACAATTTGACGACCACTTCCCAGACTGGACGGGACAATTTGACGACCACTTCCCAGACTGGATGGGACAATTTGACGGCCACTTCCCAGACTGGATGGGACAATTTGACGGCCACTTCCCAGACTGGATGGGACAATTTGACGGCCACTTCCCAGACTGGATGGGACAATTTGACGGCCACTTCCCAGACTGGATGAGATAATTTGACGGCACCTTCCCAGACTGGATGGGACAATTTGGTGGCACCTTCCCAGACTGGATGGGACAATTTGGTGGCACCTTCCCAGACTGGATGGGACAATTTGACGACTACTTCCCAGACTGGACGGGACAATTTGACGACCACTTCCCAGACTGGACGGGACAATTTGACGTCCCATTCCCCGGCCAACTCTGTCGACCCGCATACTCGGCAAGTGTAAACACTGTCACGCGATGTAATGTCGCCGATTATATATATATTGATATATTGATATAATGTTTCTCTCTTTTGATGAGGCAATGTTGTTGACGAGTGTGTTGACATGTTTTATTTTGTTTACTTTTACTTGACTTACTTCAAGAAATAAGCACGTAAAGTGTCCAAATTGCCAATGTTAGCAAAAAAAGTAGTACTGAAGCTACTTTTTTTTTACTTTATCAGGTAAGGCCCACAGAGCTATACAGCTCTTTTTTCAGAAGCGACCTGGCCGCAAATGATAGATAATCGAAGTGGCTTGTCATTTGGATCGTTTTTTATAACAGTCAAATTACTCCAAATGCATGTTGATAATAATGTGGAGGGAGAAACTGGAGGGCCCGGTGAAAAATCCACACAACCACAGGCAGAACTTCCAAACTCCGAAATATAGGGGCGTATACTTGGAATTTCTTGTTTGTTGTCCTTCATCCGCACCTCTGATTAGCATGGTTGGCTATGTACGAAGTTCTACATACATACAAAAACAAATATCCCTCGCATAGCTTTGACAGACTGTTGGGGCAAGTGCTGATAGCGAGCACCTATGAAGGTCGGCACGGCACACGAGGGGGTGGGTCGCCAGCACCACGCCCGGCTGCCTTTGTCTCCCCAGTGGCGATGTTTACACACCATACCAGGTACTCATTCAATGCTGAGTCGACCTAGGGGAGGCCCAGGACCGGTTCAGATTATAATCGTCCCCGGCGTTGATGACCGTGAGTGGGAATCGAACTCGGGTCGCCGGGTTCGTAGCGCAGCGCGCCAACCGCTACGCCGCCACTCCCCGACATACACGCACGTACGCACGCACGTACCCAGAGTGCCGTTGCAGGGCTTCTTGATGGGCTGCGTGAGCTGGGGGTTGAGGTAAGGGCTGTTCTCGGCGTCGATTCTCCTCTTGTACTTCTGACGCCCGCCACGCACCCTGTCCAGCCGCACACCTAGACAGGGGGGTGGGGAGGGCACCGCGACAGAGCTGGGAGTGAGAAGAAACCTCAGGGGATTCAGAACGCCACGTTTGCCCCGCGCCAATGTACCCCAACGTTGACGAGCACAATGCTGGCTTCAATACACTGTATCATCATCATAATAATGATGATGGGGATCATGCCGTAGTGTAAGGGACCTTCAACCCGGAGGTCACCAGTATCATCTCCAGGAGTGACAGTCAAAACATTGGACACATTTCTTGAAATCCCCTCAGCCTCTGTCCACCCAGCAGTAGAAACGGGTAACACCGAAGTTAGCTGGTCGGCAGGTCGCTTGGTGGGGTAACGTGTGGATAGTCTGACCTCTTCCGAGAGGTCTAGACAGCTTGGAAGAGTAGGCCAAATATGCTCTATAGATATCTGTCTAGTCGAGGCCTTACCGCCCTGCAATTAATTTCAGCCCTACACCTTAACCTTTATAACGAGTACATTGCTTAAAACGTAGACTTTCCCGACCAATATTCTCCACAACAGAGGATTTGGGTTAGATCGCTTAAATAAAAATGCGTCTTTAAACCCACCACCACCCGACACAGCCAATAAGTAAGGTTTGTCACGTAAACAAAATATGCCAATTTGTAACTAGTTCAGCACTCCGGTGTGTTGGAGAGTAAACCCACAGCATTTACAATGCGAGTACGACGTTTCGCCAGTAATTACTACAAGCCTCATCAGGCGACAGCCAGAGTTATGGAGAAATCGTCCTCCTTCAGCCTTGGATCTAGTGATAAAGTACAATGCTCTCTCCAACGTCTATCCATTTAAATCACCCCAAGGTCTCCCGTAGACCACGTGGCTTGTGTGTGGTCATCCTCCCTCTGAGCCCCTCCCCTCTCCCTCTGCCCCCTGTGAAAACAGACGCCGCTCCTCCTCCGTGTAGCTCACTGCTGCTCGCTCCTCCCTTCTCTCTCACTCTCTGCCCTCCCCTCTTATGGCACTCTCATCCCTGACATCTACGCCATGTCCTTGACGGTGTTCTCCTTCCCGTGATGTGCCACGGGTAAAAAATAAAGTTTTATAATGGAAATTCCAATAATAATTATAATATAAGCCAAACATGAAAGTGTCTTTCTAGATTTGAAGTTTTCGTGACTGCAAGGATCCATATTCTTGGTTCTTTCGGTAAAGTCATGTAGGTAAAGAAAATAAATTTTTTTTAAAGATAAATAAATTTAAATCGTGATTTAAATGTATTTTTTTTATCTTTTTTTTTCTTTACCTATGTGACTTTACCAAAAGAACCAAGAATATGAAAGTGTCTGTTTTCTCAAATGAGTGTGGAGTATTGCTCGACTCTCTGGGTGGCCCTGATTCATTTGTTAAGGTTGTACGTTTCTAAGTTTGGGATGTTTCCAAAGGACAACATCGACAACATCCATCGGACAACATCGTTGACCTGATTCAAAGTCAAGATTCTCATGAGTAGAGCCCTCTACCAACACGAAATAAAATACATTACATTCGTGTCCATGTGCTGGGTCAAAGAAGCATTCCACGATTCACATTGTATAACGTTTTTCACACTTTCTCTATTTGTAAGCTCTGTTTGACAGTCATCAATGCAACGTCACTCGGATTACACAATTAAAAATGATGGAATAAGCTCACCTCTGAAACAATCAATTCTTGGAATTAAAACGACTTAGCAGAAAGCCAAAGTCAGAAACGAGTTGAAGTGAATTTTCGATTTTAAGCTTCCGTGACTGCAGGGATTCATATTCTTGGTTCTTTCGGTAAAGTCACGTAGAAGGGAAAGAATAAAATAATAAAAAATAAAATAATAAAAGTCTCACGACGTTTCGATTGCAACACAAGCAATCATCATCAGGTGTGAAAACCACAGCAAGATAATTTGTATTTTATAGTTTAAATTTTATTATTTTATTATTTCCCTTCTACGTGACTTTACCGAAAGAACCAAGAATATGAGTTCAAGTGAGTTGCTTCTCCACCGTGCCTGAGGCAGTACTCACCACCACTGTATGCAGTTTCGGGCCAACGTGAAAATCCCACAAAATTGTTTTCTCATTTTATCAACCCCGGAGAGATGATGGTTCCAATTTGGTCACTGAGAGTGCCTGGTTTTGTTTTTTTCTATCATAAGAGCATTTATCTCAAGAAGTTGAATGCTAGAAACTATTGAAAGCAATGCACCAGCGATTGCTGAGATTCTGAGTTTGAATCCTTGGCTCCTACACGGAATGACAAGGACACACACACAAGTTGTCTTATATCATAATGTGAGGTCTCAACCCCTTGCTAACAGGTTTTATATGAAACCGATACAACATTAAATTTCGATTTAAAGCTTTCGTGACTGCAGGGATTCATCTTCTTGGTTCTTTCGGTAAAGTCACGTAGAATGGAAATAATAAAATAATACAAATAAAACAATAAAATCATTCTCACGACGTTTTGGCCACAACACAAGCAGCCGTCCTCAGGTGAAGACCAGGTCTGTCGGGGAGACAGCGTCTGAATGATGGCCTGGTCTTCATCTGAGGACGGCTGCTTGTGTTGTGGCCGAAACGTCGTGAGAATTATTTTATTATGTTTTATTTTCATTATTTTATTATTTCCCTTCTACGTGACTTTACCGAATGAACCAAGAAGACGATACAACATTTTCACACTCAAATAGGCCCAGACCAACTCTGAAGGCGTATTTAGCAGAGGCACAGAGTGAATTGTTGCTGGTTCCAGTGCTCTCTTACATATGTACAAAATAAACTTTGAGGGACACAAGACTAAGGCTTGTGATATCTCATATGGGTTGTGTGGGTTCGATGTCTTCTTGTAAACTATAATGAAATGCAGGTTGTACCATTTTTGGACTTGAAACGTTGAATAATTTGCTTAAATAGGTGAGATGTTATGAAAATGAGATGTATCATTGACAAAAGCAAGCAGTTGTTCGCTGCCTGACCCGGAGTGAAAAGTGAAACGGATCGTTCAGAGCAACGTTCGAAGAAATCCCCAACTCTGTCCGAGGACTTAATTAAACCAGAGTGAAATGGGTTAAGAATTGTGAAACATTTCACATTTCATTTTTTTTTCCTTGTGAACAGCTATAAAAAATATTACCGAATAATTAAATATGCAACTAACATTTTACACCTCATTAATTTAATACTGACCTTATGAGGAACCATCAGAGTGAATCAAAATATTACCATTTGGTTAGCGCAAAGTGTTGGTGGGAAGCGTTTTCCAACTCTTTTAGGATGACGAACAGACCATAAATTGCACGAGAAGAACATTTAAGAATATTTAATTGGAGATTTAACATTTTATACAAGTGTCAGCAGTAAGTGATTCATTGCGCTTATTACGAAAACAGGCGGATTGAACGTAACATTCATTGTAATTTTTATAATAAATATTAGTAAAGTAGCTGATATATTTGATGGAATGAAAATTAAGTTATAATGTGGGTCTTTATTTTAATTGTAACTCTACACTCGGTGTACACCGAGAATATATTCTCAATAGCTTTTGATACATCAAATTAATTTAGCATTTTTGCAATGATACCGTTTAAAAGAGTTAATAATATTTGACAGGACCAGGATAAATGCATTATAGATTTCTTAAGGTTGCATATTACCATCCTGACTCCACACCCTCCAGGGTCTATCATTGGTACCATTTTGTCAGCAACAGTTTTCCCATGCCATGGCTGGTTTGCACAGAGCATTGTGTGATTTCCACCACGGGCTTAGCGACCCCGATGGACATGATCTCCCGCTCGCACTTTTATTCCGAGCAGATAGCCACGCCGATTTGACGGTATAGCGTATGCCGTATAGATGACTTCCATAGGAATATGGAGTTTTGAACCACTGGCTCAGGGCAGCTAGCGAGAATGAAAACTTGCAATTACCCTAAAATCATCATCATCATCAAGAGTAGTCTGTTTAAGAAACTGTGCAAGGTGCAGCCCTTTGCACGTCAGTACTTTAGTACCAATATCAATTGTAAAAAATTATATTGGTATGCTCACTTCTGTAAACACCTATGCAATAAAAAAAAATATTCGGGGTAAGTATATACGTGCAGACTACGAGTTAGATAATGTTTTTTGCATAACAAAATTCAATAAAAATCGAGATAATAGTGGACAAGGCGCCCTTATACAATGGATCTCAGAGCGCCGTGCAGGTAAAGGAGGAAATTAAGTGAGAAGCAACCGGAGGAGAGTGACTAACGAGACAGACAGTGAACCAGAAATAGAGGCCATGCTAAACAGATGTGGTGGGGGTCTTCCACTACTGCGAGCTCCTGACCTCCAAGGGCTGGGAACTCACAGAGCCTGGACGCCTTACGGACGAAAGCCCCGTGGTGGTCACCCCAGAGTTCAAAACCTCGAGCGTGGTTACGCTGAGGAGGAGGTCAGGATTGGTGGCGTTCAGAAACAAACTAAACTCTACATGTAGATGCGAGAAAGTAAAAAAAAGAAAACACGCACGTGCATCGTTACATTTTGTGATAATTTCCTTCATTGTGAAGTTAGACTAAGGATTATTATCAATGTACTCAAACAAACGTTCGGTGGTGCCCCGTACCCTTTGAGGGCTCTTAGACCACGATGGAAATGCTTCACAAACACGTCGCAGCCATTCACAATGGCCTCGATCAGCAGTCAATCAGCACTGCGTTGCCACAACGCAAGTACCCTTATGCATTGAACCCCAAGAGATGATAGACGGCGTTGACCTCTGATCAACAAGTTCAGCATTGACACAAAACCCAGATGAAGTTTTACATTATTATAGCAGTCAAAACAGGGGGGGAGGGGGAGGGGGAAGTGCTACTAATGAGATCTTTTCTCCAACGTATGTGTGAAGTAACTTGTGAACTAACCTCATGCATAAATATGTTGGCTCACAACCGTGTGTGTTTGCAGTGTACGCGTATGTACATGTCACAAATGTTTTAATCTCACGTCTCTG